CTGTGTTCAGATCCATCAGCTGAGAAGTGTTTCATCAACATGTTAAATTGGTCTTTTAGATTCAACCCTTGGTAGCATTACAGAACAGACTCTTCAAATTGGAACTGGAACCTGGGACCAGGCCCAACTCAGCTGAATCACAGGGACACTACATGATTTCATGCCAACACCTCACCTGAGAGCACCACGGAGGCGTCCCCAGAGCAGAACTTTGATGCTTTCCTTTCCCTGTCTCCCCCTCTCACCTGTCCCTGTTCTTCCCTCCCTCCCTCTTTTTTCCCCCTCTTCCTCTTTGCCAACTCTCCTCCCTGCCAAAAAAAATGTAGCCCAAGGCCAGGCTGTGGGGAAACGTGATTTACCTGATTACACTGGTTTTGGGGTTCTAGACCAGCGCTGTTCAATAGAAATGTAATGCAAGCCACATAAGGAACTTAAAATTTTCTAGCAGCCATATTTAAAAAGTTAAAAGAAACAGGTGAAATTAGTTTTAATATTTTTTATTTTACCCAATATTTAAAATAATATTTAACATGTAATTAATATCGAAGTTATTAAGAGATTATTTTACATTCTTTTTGGTACTAAGTCTTCAGAGTCTGTTGTGTGTTATTTTACACTTAAAGCACATCTCAAATCCGACCAGTCACATTGCAAGTACTCAGTAGCCACATGTGGCTGAGCAGCTACCATACTGGACAGCGCATTTCTAGACCCTGATAAAAGCCATGGACTACATCTTCAGTATGTTATATACACAGATAAAACATACACAGATTAGGGGGTTCACATCCTAAGAAATCCTTCATGATCTGGCCACCAACCTAATCAACGGACCCTTGATAAGAAACCCTTTACATCTTCTCAAACTATATGAAGAAACCTGCCATCTCTCTCTTACATCAATTTCTTTCTTTCCCTTCCCTCGCCATCACAGTTCTCTCATCCATATGTCCCAGTGTTGTGAGAATACATCAAACCAGATTTTTCTTAGGTTTGTATTTTTCTGATTTGTAGGTGAACGTGAGTAAAAAGAAAGGAGATGGGGATATACTGAAGGATCTTATGAAAACTGCAGGCACCGCCAAGGTCAGGGAGGCCCTTGGAGATTACCTGGAGGCACTTAAGACGGGTAAAGAAGGCATCCCTTGTGAATTAGAGGGTCCCTTTTCTATTTACCCAAGTAATGCTCTGCACTGTGGTCTGGATTCCCAGGTTAGGCTGATGTCCAAGGCTCCAGAAACAACTGTCTTCCTTGCTAGACTGTAAGCTCCGTGAGGGCATGGAAGGTGTGTTTATCTTGTTCACTGCTGTCTCTCCAGCATCTGTCATAATGCCCTGGCACATAGTAGGTGCTTAATAAATCTTTGTTGAATGAATGAATGAATGAAAGTGACTCAGGTAGTTGACACTTATCTAGTTAATCCCTATACTGTGTGGAATTGAGGTTATTGTCTTCTTCCCTAAATTAGAGAAGTTACCTGCCGGACAAAATGGCCAGCAGGGCCTGTATGTCTGCACCTCATCCTTGGACTCTGCTACTTGAGCATCTAGGTGTTGGCACAGAAGCGTTTGGGGTTGCCACTTTTCTCACGAGATCACACATGTGGCTGGCCCACAGGCTTGAACACTGGGAGGCCAAGCTTTGTGAGGTGGTGGTGAAGCAATGAGCAAGTGTCTGGTTTTGACAGTAAGTGAAGGCCATAAAGCTGTTAGTAGTTAGTCGTTTAAAATGGAGCTTTTCGGAAAAGAACATTTGAAAATTATGCTGTTTTATCAAGAACTAGATAAAAGTAAGGCATTTGATAAAAAGGAAAGGATAAAAGGCATTTGCTGCTGTGGATCTCGTGTTGTTCATGATTAGTTTTATAGGTAAAAATACAGAATGGTCTTGAAACTCTCAAAATGCTATAGGAATTCTTTTTATAAATATCAGTTCTTTTTTATTCTTACATACTGTTTTCGGTTTTCTGCCTTACTATTTGTTTTGAAAGGGAAAAAATTCTTTATTAAAACCACTTCTCATATGTTTTCTTTGTAGAATTTACAATGGGAATGATTTTACCAACGAAAGCTATGGCAACGCAGGAATTGACCATTAAAAGGAAACTGAATGAGAATACCTTGCAGGTATGCCCTCTGGTGGCCACTAGGCTTCAAAGCTCTAAATAGTCTTGTGATGACGAACTGCAGAGGATAGTGACCAGGGCCAGCTAATCCACCCTTACTTCCTCTGCTGTTTTGGGGAGAAGTGATTAAATGAGACTTTCATCCTTGATGGAAGGGATTGTATAAGTAGGCCTTTCTGAACTAAATAATTGAATTTAGTTCAAGATGGTGTTGTAAAGGCAGTGTTGTTTTGGTAGGCAGCAGAGAATACAAAACCAGGTGACTTTGTGGTTCACATGAAACAATGGAAGAACCTCTCCAGACTTTTGGTCAATTGGAGGTTTTAGATCCTGTTCTTGGAATCTGGTGGTGGGGAATTGGGGCCCTTTGGCCTTCAGTGCTGCTGTCCTTCACCTGCTTCACTTTTTTGCCCTCTGGGCCATATTTACATGTCCAAATAAGATTTGGGGTGTGAGGTCATAGCCTGTGACTGGAACAGAGCTAAAGAGCTTATAGGAACAGTGAACTGTTTTCAAAATAAAGACCAGAACTGGTGGTGCTAAAAGGCTTTAGTGGAAGGGGGTAGTGTGCAATTCGGGACATTCTGGTGTTTTATTAAGATTAGAAGAATTTTCAAAATCTTTTGTCATATTGGAACCTTTTCTCTTGAGATTCAGACCTCTTCTCCAGTGGCACTGGGTGTGAGGATTCCCACTGTGGCCCTGCACATGACGGAGCTGTTTGATACAGCTGTTGAGCAGCTGTATAGAATCTTTACTGTGAAAGATGTAAGTAACTTTGCAAGTTAGGATCTGAAATGCTGACATTTGGAGAAAATAAGCCACTAAGAACTGGAGCTGGGTTTTCGTTTCCTGTATGGCCATAGTTTCCTGATTGAAAGGATCTAGAAATCTTTAGGATAGTCTCTGAAAAATTTGAGTGGGAAAAGATGGGCATTTTGGAGGAGTTAATCAGCATTTAGGAGTTTGGAGCAATTTACTGAGTTTTCTTCCTCTGAAAGAGGAGAGAAAGGGAAGGAAAGCTATAATTAAGAGCTGTGTAGCCACAATTAAAAAAACAAAAACTACAGTAAATTGTTACATTAATATTTTACATTTAGGTTAAAAACATGATAGTATGTGCTGGAATAACATGTCTGTTGTACATTTTGCTTGGTTAGCTGGTGCAAAAATTTTCTAAATCTCCTGCTGTATTAGAAGCTGAAAAGGGAGGGAAATTCCAAATGTTTGACGGGAACATCACTGGTGAATATATAGAACTGGTAAGTAAGCTTCTGGTTTAAAGGAAGGTAAGCTGGGACTGACTCTTCTGTTAATATTGCTTTATTCATCCTGTTTTTAATGTGCTTTGGCTTTTTATCTGAGTTCACAGAAACTTGAGCACTTTATAAAGTTGGTTGTAGGGTAAATAAAAAATGTTATAAATACTAAGTATAATAAAGATGAAGCCTTTGTTTCACAGTAATTTTGCAAGTATTGATGATTTCAGAAGGCACAATTATAGATTTCCTTCCAACTTTTGGTCTAAAAGTTGGTTTCTGGTTTCTGCCACCTAATCACTAGGGTGTGTGTTGCCAAATGTCAGTTGCCTCGCCACTGACATCGGCTCTGTTCTTGTTACACTTCTGTCCTTGGGTGTTACTACTGTTAAACATTTTGGCATGGGGGACAATGAATTCTCAGTGGTGCGGTGTATAAGCTGGAAAATGGGAGTGTATGTTGTTCTTCGATTACTTTTAGTACGTAGGGGCTTTTATGAACGGATTCGGTTATTTGTGACAGTATTGTAGGAAATTTTAAAAGATGTTTTCAGTGGAATTTCCCCTTTGTTTTCAGTTAACAAATAAAAAAATCGTCATGAAATGGAGGTGTAGGAACTGGCCAGAAGGTATGTTATTAGCACTGTTTTGAGTCCAAAAACTCTCAAGCTGTTTTTCCCCCTACTGTGAAAAGCAAATAGTGGTACTGTATGGGTAAATTTTCCTTTTCATAATGCAGTAATAAGCTTTCCTTTCCTTCTTCCAGAACACTATGCAACAGTTGCACTGAATTTTGTGCCTACTCTAGGGCAAACGGAATTACAGTTGGACTGTAAAGGAGTTCCTGTTTGTAAAGAAGAGAACATAAAATTCTGTTGGCAGAAGCAGCATTTTGAAGAAATAAAAGGTTTACTGCAGTTAACCACCCTAAATGGTTGAATTAGTTAGAAGATTTTATAAGGGCATTACTTTTTGTAAGCAGAAAAAGTGTCATTTACCTCTTCCCTGTTACTCCTTTTAAAAAAGAAAACAAGTACTGTTAATTTGTACTGGATGAAATCCATCAACTTGTACAGAATCGAAAGCATTGTCTGAATCTTTATGACTAGACTGCATTGAGTTTAAAAGCAAGCAACCTGAAATTAGGTATTAACTTTACCTCCTGTAGATGCTCTTCTGGGTTGAATCCCTACGTACAGATGGTTGAAGTGTCCCAAGCTAAAGCTTGTCCTAACAAGCTTACTTTTAGCTACAGTTTTAGTTCAGGAAGACAAAAAAAAAATGGCATGTTGATAACTATTCCTTTCTTTTATTTATTTCAGGGTTTTTAAGGTATGTAGTAGCTCTTAGGTAGTGAAACAGTGGCATGTCGCACTCAGGAGCATGTTGATGTGAGGGCGAGCTGGCTGTACCGTTAACGCTTCTCCCTGCAGCAGTTATGCATTTTGGGGTAATGAGGATTGAAAAGTCTACAGGGTAAAAGTAAGTTGCTTTTTGGACTGCCACTCCACTTCTAATGAAACAGAATAGAATGGAGAAGTGCTTCCCCTCATTTCAGTTTTCTCATTACTTTCATCTTGAGAAGACTGAAGCAACATATGTAAACAAGTAAAAAGTCATCACAATCAGTTTAATTAAGTGCACAGAATAGCAATCAATCAGTCATGTCAATAAAAATAAAACAATTATTTTTACATCAAGTGTGCTTTATTTCCTCCACAGGTATTCTGTTAAATAAAGCACCATTTATATACTGCCAGGCCACAGCTAAAGAGGATTCTTTACAGAATCAAATTTCTTGTGGTTGTTCCGTATACAAGTAAACTTAATTTTGATAATAAGAACCACAGCGATCGGAGGCAATCTGCCTCTATTATAAGGTACAAAACTGGCACAGAGGACACCATATTATACACAGTAAAAATGCTGTTAAGTTTAAATTACATTGTAAGGGCCAGGAAACCCTGTTCCTCCCAGACAGCCATATTAAATGAAAGCCACTACAGTGAACTCTTAATTACATAAAACAAATCCGTTATCTGATTGCCCTTTAGAAAGTATACTGAAGATGCAAATGTTTTCATCTGAAGTTCTGCCTGACCAAGAATTAAGCCTATAAATCTATCTTGCCATTCAAGCAGAGAGCACTGGACGAACTGAAGCACAAAAACAGAAATAAGCAAAACTTATACAAACAGCATTAGGGGGAAGGGGGACCTTAAAAGTAGACATGCTACATCTAATGTCAAGAAGCAGCTTGGTTTCCTTTGCCAGATATCCTTGTGACCACATGGATTGTAGATTCAATGGTCCTACATAGGGTATCTAAAATGTCGTGTTGCTGCATGTGACTAAAGAGCCCTCTGGAATGGCCACAGCTGAGCGATAAAGCAGCCTCAGGGTCCTGTGAAGGCAAAGCTTGACCATCACAGCTTCTCAAGTCAGCTAAGTCAGACAGGACTGCGGAGAGGGAAGTAGAAGGGAACTCAGAGTCTTCCTCAGCGAGGTTAGAATCCTTGGAACAGTGAAGGTCTTTAAATTCTTTACAGTCTTCAAATCTACCATTGTTGGACTGTTCTTCCGCATGCTGTGACCTGATATTTGACATGTCTTCTGAAAATGAAGATGGAACCTCCATTCGGTATTCTTTAACAGAACTGTTTTCAGGGGAAGGAAGATCTTGCTCAGTTCCTGGATCGATAATTGAAGAGTCTCTCGTCTCATTGTCTGAAGTGCTGGTCGGGGTCAGGACCTCCCTGGTTTCTGTTTTCACATCACTGATGCAACTGTCCACAGTGTGCTCCTCATCACTGCTAACACGCCTTCTTTTAACAGGAGTCGCCCCTTCATCATCTGTGAAAATGAACAGCAAGAAATTCTCTGAAAGGAGTCATGAAGATCACACACTGGGAGGTGTCTATGGGAAATTTCGTTTTTAGCATTTAAATATAGGCTCAACTAAACACACAGCTACTGTAAAGTCAGTTGCACAGAGTATATTCTTCTCTTCTCCCACCCTACTGTCAGTATTAGTCCATAAAGCTAACCTTTAGTTTTTCTTTCTTTGGCTTCTTGCTCTTGGAGTGAGTTTCTTTGCTGCAGACAAGTCCTGCATTTGCTTAAAAGCTCTTGCAGGGTTGGAATTAGAGCTGGGTTTAATTGTTTGGGAGTGTGTACAGACAGGAGCAAAGCAAGCGCCCGCAAGTCCTACAAAAGTCCAGACAGGGAACATTTCAAATGCCAAAACCAACATTTTGACACAGCTATTAACAGTTTAACGTACATGTTCACTTTTCCAAGAATCCATCCTGGTTGCTCTGATATTTTTGGAAGAATGCTAAAACTAGAAAGCCAGTGTGGTAAGTAGTGGTATAAGTATAGCAGTATTAAGTCATACTGAAGACTCAATGCTTTCCAAAAATGGGAAAGGAAGGAAAATACCAGTAATAGAACTTACACAGAAATTTAAAAAACAAACCATGAATGATCCATGAGAAATTTAGGCCTTACTAATCTAGGAATCA